ATTGTGAACAGTGCTGTGATGAACATGGGTGTGCATATATCTATTTGTGTGATGGCTCTTGTTTCTCTAGGATATATCCCAAGGAGCGGGACAGCTGGATTGAACGGTACCTCTATATCTAGCTTTTTAAGGAAGCACCAAATCAATTTCCAAAGTGGTTGTACCATTTTACATTCCTGCCAACAATGTATAAGCATTCCAGTCTCTCCACAAACTCTCCAGCATTTGTTATTTTGTGTTTTTTGGATTAATGCTAGCCTTCTTGGGGTGAGACGATATCTCATTGAAGTTTTGATCTGCATTTCTCTAATGGCTAATGATTGTGAGCATTTCTTCATGTGTCTGTTAGCTGCCTGAATATCTTCTTTGGTGAAGTGCCTGTTCATATTCTTTGCCCACTTTTTAATTGGGTTATTTGTCTCTTTGTTGTTGAGGTTTTGCAGTATCTTGTAGATTTTAGAGATTAAATGCTGATCAGATTTGTCTTAGCCAAAAATTTTTTCACAGTCTGTAGGTTGTCTTTTAACTCTTTTGGTGAAGTCTTTTGATGAGCATAAGTGTTTGATTTTTAGGAGTTGCCATTTATCTAGTCTCTCTTCTGGTGCTTGTACATTGTTGCTTATGGTTCATATTGTGTTTATGCCATGTATTAGGGCTCCTAGCCTTGTCCCCATCTTTTCTTCCACGATCTTTATTGTTTTCAATTTTGTATTTAAGTCTTTGATACATTTTGAGTTAGTTTTTGTACATGGTGTGAGGTATGGGTCTTGCTTCAGTTTTTTGCGTATAGATATCCAATTATGCCAGCACCATTTGTTAAAGAGACTGTCGTTTCCCCAATTAATGGACTTTGGGCCTTTGTCAAATATTAGCTGCTCATAGGTGGATGAATTTAGGCCTGGATTCTCAATTCTGTTCCATTGGTCTATGTATCTGTTGTTGTACCAGTACCAGGATGTCCTAACCACCGTGGAAGTATAATAGGTCCTAAAATCAGGTAGTGTAAGGCTTCTTACTTTGTTCTTCTTCTTGAGTAACGCTTTATTTATCTGGGGCCTCTTCCTTTTCCATATGAAGTTGGTGATTGTTTTTTCTCCATCTCATTAAAAGATGCTGGTGGAATTTGGATCGGGGTCACGTTATATCTGTAGATTGCTTTGGGTAGAATTGACATTTTCACTATGTTGAGTCTACCTATCTATGAGCAAGGTATATTTTTCCACTTATGCAGGTCTCTTTTAGTTTCTTGCAGTAGTGTCTTTTCTCTGTAAAGATCTTTTACATCTGTGGTTAGATTTATTCCTAAGTATTTTGTCTTCTTGGGGGTTATTGGCTAT